AGCTCTGTGTAAAAAAGCAAGTGCCAGGACAAATCCAAAGAATTGCACCTATATCTATTTAAATCTATCTATATATCAAGCTCTCTTTGCATATTTGGCATCAATTTGCAGAGTTTACTACATTCATGCACAAGTACCCAATTAATTCATGCATGAGCACCCAATTATTTTATGCATGAATACCCCATCAGTTCATGCATGAACTGTTTATATATTGACACCCAATTAATTTTCACATAAGCCCCCAATTAATTGACATGAATAAGAGAAGGAGAGATGTTTGGCTTAAGCTGAGACTGGGAAAGGGGGAGAAAAGGCACTTAAGTGCTTGTTTAATTCTTCACATTTTCTTTTTTTCTCAATACCCAGAATCAGTGATCAGAAGTTTGTGTTAATTTTCAATAACTTAAATTAAGTAAAAATTTGCCAAGGCGAGACTGTATTGCCTGTGACAGCATATACATAGTCAGAACTGAGGTAGGAACTCAGGCATTGAACCGTGAGGGGAAAAGCACCCTAAGGAATCAATTGATGTTATCAAGTAATCTGCCTTAGAGATTAAAGAACACAGAGCAATAAAGTGTTGTAATGAAAAAAGCTTTTTAGTCAGAAATGGGGGTCATAGGGAAAAACACACATTAATGTCAGCACATAATTGCACTATATGGACAAAATCAGATGCCGCTAAAAAGATTACTGTGGTAAATTCTGCACTAGAGGATTTTTCGCCCATCAAGCATGACTTTAACTGTAAGCAAGAGGGAGACAAATACAAAAAGCAAGCTTCAGAAACTGCAAAAAAAAGTGAGAGAAAGAGTCAAGATCTTGTCCTGCTCTGGTTCTCTTGATACCTAGACACACTCTGGTCCCGAGATCCGAGGGGTGCAGGTGCATCCCCTGCTCTCCCCACATCCAGCCGCAACTGGAAATCCACCATACAGCTTCCCAGCAAAGGAGAGCTTCTTCCATCCTGCCAAGATGAAGCTGTATTTACTCAGTGCCTCTTAAGCAGTATCAATTAACCAAAAACGTGAAAGAAAGGAGGAAAGGAGAAAAGACAGACACCTTGCACCTCAACACCAGCTTGTCTTTGCAGACAATATACCAACTGAAATTGAGAAAATCAAAGAGAAAATTGAGAGGGCACTTCACTGCAAGATCAAACCTCTAAACAAATGAAACTGCCATATAATAAATTAATATGTTTATGTTTCTCTTAAGAAATAGAATACATACTCAACTAGGCAAATATGAATTTAAAAATACTATTTATACTTCTGAACTTTTCCCCTCAATTTACAAGAACTATTTCTGCCTGTTCTGAACGCAGAAATTCTTACCAGACAAGGAATCTGAAAACCATAATTTTGGAACTTCACCTCAAGACTCAATATGAGCAGAAAATCTAGCAATCTGAGGTTTAATCTCTGTGCCTCCACTCCTCATAAGGCCTGTGTGGATGGTCTGTGGCTTTAATATTATCAGTAATAGCCCAAATAATGTCAAGTGCAAATATTGAAAATGCTTCAGCAGTAGCATCCCAGAGAATCCCATCAGTAATTTGGTATTCAGTAAAGGGTGGGTAATATAGAGATACAAATTCTTTACACCACTATTTAACACCAAAACCAACTCCAGACTGAACAGTAAACAATTGTCATTCATTGCACTAATGGCTGTCTCATGGTACTGGTGCTGGGTAATGTCACATGATGTGTAATTAAGCAAATTAAGCTTGCTTTTGGATAGCAACACTGAGCAGTTACCCAGACCCCACCGTGGCTGACAGTCACTTCCTAGAACAATGCACTCTCAGAATTCCTGCCTCCCAGAATAAACCCCTTCTATCACACGGTAATAGCGATCCTGGCATTTCTCAACTTTCACATTAATTTACAGCCTTTACATTCATTTAATATACCTCTAAATCAAATAGGTACATATCGCCCTTTGAGATGTTCAGAGGCATTGTAAGACTATTTCTTTGTGCTCTGGCAGAAGAATCACATACCCTTCACACCTCTTCAATGCTGAACAACAATGGGCAACAATGCCCAGCTTGGATGGAAGCAGGTTAAATGATAACACCTCGCTGTATCTCCAGATCTGAAAATACAGCAGCATATTTCTCTAAATACTGTTTGCTTTCCTTTGGCCTTATTGTAACTGCTATTGGACTGTTGCTGTTGTAGTGGGGTTGGTTTGTTTAAATACATTATGATAATACACAAATATGTTGTAGCATACAAACTAGAATCTTCTACAGCTTCTTTCTTACATATGCCATGCTGTGTTGTGATTAATCATATTAAATACCTTTTCTAAACAGCAACTGGAAACACAAAAGATGATGACAAGATGGTGTTTACAGGATTCATGAATGCTACACAAGAATATAAGGACATAGAGTTGCTGGTTAACTTGCATATGAAAAAATAAAAGTGAATTTAGTTACAGAATCCGTTACATTGTGGTCCATCTTGCACGGTAACCACAGTTGGTCCCCTCTCTGAAACCATTCACAGCACACAGAATTCAAAGGACATGTTCCTCTGTGTTTCTGATAGTAAGCGTGATACTGAAGATCATTGCCCCCAGTGCGCTGAGTCCCAGCCAGCTCCGTCACCACCTCTCATTGCAAGACCATCAGCTAGTTTAGAAAGAGTAGGGGAAGAAGAAAATCCACTTAATGTGCAATAGTAATTAATCATGTAATTAATTTCTCCTCATTGAAAAGTACGCTGTATTGAAAAGTCCACCTCTAGCTGAGCTAAAGAAAAGCTAAGGCAGAGTGTACAGCTGGAAATTAAGCCATGCTTTGATAAGGTCAGAAGAATCCACCCAAGCTTCTCCACAGACGGAGGCCCCAAATGAGACAGATGTCCCATGCCCAACAGGCTCTTAGTTAAACACAGGATATATTCTCCCATCACCATTTATTTTTGGAGTATTCTGGCTCTTTGACTTATTTCAACATGGTTATTATTTTTAGTTAACTCCACTCAAATGACAGACTGAATAGTTTAGACTGACCAAATCCATGAATTACTGATTAGAGAAGCAAGGCAGGAACCTGCTGGATCATTTTATCTAGCCCTCTGCTGTCGCAGACATCATTCAGCCTCTCTCATTGCTGTATCAAGGGCCATTTTAGGATTACTGAGGCTAAATCTGGTTTGGCTAGCTTGGCAACTCTGGTATTAGCAAAAAAACAAAAAAAAACCCCCCAAAACCCCCCAAAAAACCCCCACAAACTATGACAACGATGTCAGCACAATTTAAACATCCACAAAGCCAGGGTCCCAGAGCTATTCACCTCAGCCTGGGTCCCACACTGCATTGGTAGCGGTAACCAAACCATTGCTAAACAATACCACATCATACTGCAGTGCAGAAAATGCGTTCTTTCCAGCTACTCATCAAGTAAATTAAATACTTCTGCAGAACAAATAGGTATTAATATGCATGTATTTCTACAAGGTACCTATTCAGAACAGGCATGGCCTTTTCAGTCAGTGTGTGCGGGTAGTGCCCGGCACGCCTCGCCCTCTGTCCCTAGTTAAGTGATGTAGGCACCAGCTCTCTTCAAACAACAGGAATTGCAACAGTCTCCTTAGCTAGGTATTCTCCTATCTTTAGCTAGGTGTGATTGCATCCTGTTGCATTATGCCTTATTGTGATCATCCATCCTAATTTGATATCTCTGTTGTGTGGTTTCTCCTGCAGAGAAAATGCTGGATTTTATCCAAATGATGGAAAAATTTGCCCATTTAGATCACCTGAAGCTGATAACCTTTCTACTGGAAAGTTCCCATCTGGCTAGAAATATTGCTACTGCATTTTTCAGGGATGCGATTCCTTTGCAAATGACCCAACATTATACTCCAGAAACAAAAACGCAAAACTTCTTCAAATCCTCCCGAACAAAAAATGAGCTCTTACTCCAAATTACAGACAGAAATAGAATAGCGGTTAAATTTGTCTTTGGGAAGCTGTCAAAAATGGACAGGGTCAATGCATTTATTTTTTTTCCTTGGAAATGAAAACACCTTATTTAATGGCACAGGAGAAAGATCTGTGAAATCACTATACAAATAATATAGAATTTGATGGGCAAATTTTCTGCCAAGTGACTCGATATATTGATAGTATGTGTTCCACAGTATGTGGGTAATTATGACAAAATATCATACTATTATTTGTGTTTAATGATTCCTTAATTATCTCTCATATTCTATTGAAGCATTATTTTTTATGCTCATAACATGTACTGCAAATGTCTACATATTTTTCAATATACCTATATATTACATTATATATTATTGTAGTCTATCACATCGTATTGTACTACCCTAAGCTAGGATCTAATGCTGTGCTGCAACACAAATACTTGTCCATGCTTTGGAATTGAAGATTTATATTGGTTTTAAAACAAAAAAAAAAGTTTTACAACAGCCTCACTTCAAATGGAAATGCACGCTCACTCACAATATTGCTGACATGGTAATACATGGTTGATGATGAAAAATAACCGGTTACTTCAATTCTTTCTGCATAGTAAGCAGTCCTGTCAACACAATGAAGTTCTGAGGCAATTATAAGAGGACTTAGTAAGATTGGTTATGAAACGCAACTACAGAATTAGCAAATAAAAGAACAGACAGTAATGGAGAATAAATACCACTAGATCGCAGGTAATCTCGCTAAGTTTTTTACCCCTAGTGATCAGTTCTGTATTGTATGTAATATTTTTGCAACCAATTGCACTTCTTGCTATTGCACATTTTTCTTTTTAAATAAATGGACCATTAGTCTAATTTACCAATCTAGTCAGTAGAAAACAAGTGTATTGATCATTGGTGCAACCAGGTATCTCTTCTTTAAAATTAATGCATCTATGCTGTTTCACACGTGCTATCTGGCTTCAGAACCAGAGAGAGATTAGACAGATTGCAAAATAAACCACATCTCAGGTAGAAAAAGTTAGTTTAAAATCCTACCAGAGTGATCAAAGATGACCTGGTTGGCAGGATGTGGGCCTGCATCTATGGATAAAATGTCCCAGAGTTTCATCATGCCGGGGGAGTCACAGGAAGCAATCGTATCACCATGTCGACATTGGAAACAAAATAAAGGCATCACTTTTGTACTTCTGCAAAGAAGAAAGCATATGAAACCAGGCTGGATACCCACTGATGCGAGACATAGTAACCGTACATATTTAAATAAATATAAGTTATTATATGTGAGGTTATCGCAGCCTCTTAACAACTATTTTGACTTGAATAGCAACAATATAATTTTAAAGCAAACAGTTCAGGGGAAACTGTAAGTAAAAACGAGAAAAGAGGTTATTCTGAATTCTGCTACCAGTGTCCTCTAAGAACATACAGAGACACGGGAATGGCCCTTTAGCCCTGATTATTAATTTGTCTACTCATGTTTTCAATGTGAAGCATCAGACTAGAGCAGAATGGACACTCCCCCATTGTTGTACATTCGTTGATAGCCATGCTAAGGACAATCTCCCTCATTTCAGTGAGTCAGAAGCACGCAGGGACTACCCATGCAAGGAAAGATAGCAGGACCATGTCCCCCATGCCTCTTCAATATTAATTAAAAAAATAAACAAACAATCAACTAAAGAAGTGGCAGAAGTATTTTGTATATGTAGCATATAAACAAACACAAAAATAAAAAAAGGCAGGTTAAAGGATGCCCAAACATTACTGTGTTTAGCTAATTCCTGCCACCATAACAGAAAGAAACCCCTAGCTACCAATGTAGAAACATTTACTTTTCATTTTAGCCTTCTAAATAAAGATTCAAAATCGCCAAACCAGCTCAGCTGATGTGCACTCAGAGTTATCAAAGTCAATGATGTCTTTTCCAATTTATGCAAGAGTGTAAGATTAGATTAAAGGATATTGTTATGAAGGAGAATCACAATGGTATGAAACTGAGAATCAGGTCAAACATGGGTCAGATGCTGCATGCATGACTTTTTTTTTTATTCAGTTAATTTTTACATCTTTCAGGTAAATAATACCTGCAAGAAAACATGTGGAGTTATCTAGCAAATAGAGGAATTAAGATCTGAAAATATCCATTGCCTTCTCAAGTAGAAAGTAATGGCCTGCGAAACACTGTCATGGTATAACTATAATGAAATCTTTAGGTTCATTTGGAGGAGATCTAAAATGTCAAAACTCCATTCTGGTTTGTTACAGGGACTAATACAGAGTAACGCCGAGACACAAAGTGATGATTGCTTTGAGAATTCAGCCAGCAACGGTAAGCTCTCAGCGCTTGCTGTTCTGCAAAAAAAGCTCAGTAACCGTAACTACATCCCACCTCAACACAGTGGTGCTGAGCAGTATGGAAAAGCTATTTGTTTAACTATCTCATCAGGTGTATCCACCGAGTTCTCTTCCATTTCATCTGGCTCCTTTCATGAAGTTCAGCCTATACAAACAAGGAGGTCAAGCAGACCATTCAGAAAACAAACAAAACAACCCCAAATACAACAGCTACGCTCCAAATTGTTGCATGGCTTGAACTGAATCTCAATAAAGCAAATTTTTAATGGGAAAAAAAAAAAAGGCATCATCATAGATACAAGACTGGAAGAGTCATCAAATCCAGTCCCTTCCTCTTACAAGCAATGCTTTCATACGCTTGCTGTGATAAAAGTACTGAATTCCAAATTAGCAGCAGTTCCCCCATCCCCCCGCTGCTGATCTAGAACCTGCCTGTCTTCCTTGCATTTATAAATCTTCCCACCCATAAGATGAGAGTTTAAAAGCACTTGTTCACATGCAATCTGTATCCTTTAGGTTAAATACAAGGGTTTTTTGCAGTACTCCTCCCTTCTTCCCTGTCCCTGATGCATTTCACTTACAGTATCATTCATATCCCCATCTCAAACACTATTTTCTGGGCTAAACAGCTGAAGCTCTTCCTTCTCTCCTCCTCACCCTTTTCAGATAGCATGGAGTCTGGATTAACTACGACCGTACCCATCACTGATTTTTTTTGATAAAGCAACTCTTGCAAAATTGATCACCGGTTTTGGAAGCCCATACAGAGATCCCTGTAACCTTTCAGAGAGGTTAAAGGTGCATAGCTCAGCTGAGAGGAGGTTTCAGTGAAGTTGGCACACAGCAGCAACTACGAAGTGGGAGGGTGGGACATGCACAATGAAGTGGGACATCTCCTTTCCTTAGGTCATTATCTGTCATGCCACTAAAGGGAAGAGGAACTGAATATGTACATGTAAAGATCCCTCTGTTCCTCAGTGTAAGTACTCGGCTTCTGGACCAGCTCTCCACACCTCGCCATCCTCTCTCTTCTCACTTTCTTCTGCAAAGATTATGTCCATCGCTAACAATAGTCCATTTAGGAAATCACTAGTATCCCTTATACTCGTTATTTCATAACCTCTAACATGACTTTGAGATATTCTTGCATTTTACTCCTCAATTTTTTTCTATCCATAGAGGCATTTTAGTAAATAATACCTTTTGGGTATGTATGTGTTTGTTTTGGTTTGTTATGTTTTGTTTTAGAACATGCTTGCCTTCAAACTTATTTTGTACGTGTCTAATATACTTCAATTCAATAGATGTTCCTTAATTACAGCTTTGATAACTCAGCAATTTTGAACTAGATCAATTGCCAGCCCATCTAGGTGAGGCTGCACATAACCTGCTCAGTGTGGTTACAGGACACACTCCAGTGGGTGCTCTGTGACTTCTTCTGTCATCAACAGTCGTGTCCATGGATTTTCAATACAACATTTCTCTCTTAAGTAACAGCATGGTCCAGCTAATAGATCATAATAGCACCAAGAATGCTTCACTGAAATAGATATTATGCAAACATTGATCAGACACAGTCCTTGCTGCAAAGCTGTAGTTGAGCTGACTTCGACCTTCCTGCTGGCCCTGATTAAGGGATCATTACTAGTTGCATAATTAGGAGGAAAGCAGTCAGATCTACTTTTAATACAGGTTCTTCCTTCTATGAATTAATTTTGCTACAGTAGCTGGCCCCCACAAGACGAGATCCATACCTCGTCCTCCTTCAATCTTGCCATCCTATTCTCTGCCACATTTAATTTCTCCCATTTCTACTACAGATCCCTGAGAAACAGAAGGGAAAACAAAACTCCTCTCCCACAGGAACTGACACAATCAAACCGTTAGTAGGTACCAGATACATTGAACCACCCTAACTTGTTATTTAAGCTCTTGCTCACAAGGTGATTTGTGGCTACATCAGAAAGGTCAAGCCCCCCTGATCCTTGCAGATACTATTTCAACAGAAGCAGTGCCGGAGAAACCTGGTCTGGGAACACCACGCCGCTGTGCTAAGTGCTGTGTAAACAAGCTAGAGAAGACGGTCCTGCTCCAGAGGGTTTACAATCTATCTTAGTAGCAAGGTCAACCAGTTCTTGCTGTCAAAAGTCTGGACACTTTTTATCAATTTCCTCCCAGATGCCCGGTATAAACATACTGTGCATAAAACGCAACACCCAGTAGCATATTTCAACTGATTTCCATGAAAAGGCAGCAGACCTCATCTGCAAACAGAAGTAAGAAAACACAAGCTGCTGATGGGAACAGGTCAACACATGCAAACAGGTATTTTATCAGCCCCGGCATGCTCTGTCCACAGAGTTATTATTAACTGCATTAATTATTACTGATACCTAGGCAGCTGCTACACTAAAAACATACCAAAAGGATTTTGTTAATGAGCCAGTTATTACATTTCACCACTTCTTTGCTTGATGTCATCTCTATTACATACCTTTTCTAAATCAAGTGAGCTGGAGATGTGGGATAACAACTTTTCAACAGGAAGAAATAAAGGAGGAATGTAATCAAGCTTAAGGATAATTCGAAGCTACATGCCATTCAAAGAAAAAGAAAGGGATAAGTCATATGTTAAATGAACTCATTTGCATCTGGCCACAGGCCATTTTCAATAGCTTTAAAGTGGAATCACTTTGAATTCTCCTACGAGCTTTTGCCTTTTTCATTCCTTTTACCATTACTGTCTTCGTTATTCATGGAAGAGCCCTCTGCCTTGCTCTTCATTTTCTTCTTTTTGTTTCTTGCCACACTAAAGTCCTATTTATGATGTCTTTCTGATGACATATTTTACTGAACAGCAAATTGGACCATCAGGGCTTGACTGATTTTCCTACACGTAAAAGGAGGAGACTGAGATCCAAGGAGAAAATGTGCAAAAGGAGATTCCCGTTGTACTGATTTTCATTTACACGACATTTTATGCTGCAGCAGCCACAGCTCAGTTCTATTACTTCCTCAAATCAAAGAGCATGTAGAATGATTCATAAAACCGGTAAGATTTGCTTTCTATTCTATACAATCAAGTTGGTACTTTTTTGTGTGTGCACGCTGAAGTAATTAAAGAATTTATACAAGGATTCCATTAGTCTGGATTCAAAGACTGGTTCTGTTCCAGGCTCCATTTAAAGGACTTGCAAGTCCTTTAATTGCCTTCACAGTTCCACCCTCCACTCTTTACACCTTTCCCTGCCGACTTAATGAACGTCTTCATGTTACAGAAGATCTCCCAATAAAATGGATATGCTGAGCTCCATATACATCATAATCCCAATCTCAATTGCACTTGTAAACCATTGTAACACAAATAATTATAATATGAGGAATGAACAGATTTATGTAATTTCCAGGAAGTTTTTTAAAAATCTGTTTCCTTTTTTTTTTTTAAATACACAATTTTTCTTGTGAATATTAATAATGATTAACAAAGTGAATAATCACCAGGGACACTTTAGGCAGTTTATTTCCTGAAAACTGCTGTTTCACACCAGCAATAAGGATAAAATCTGAATAATTATGTCTCTTGCTTAGGAACACACCTCTGGATTTATTGCTGAAATATCAATAATATATGAACTGCAACAAGTGGCTTTATCTAATTTAGGCTGCAATAAACTCCTTCCAGGAGTATCCTCTTCAAAGTTTAATTTTGAAGGCAGGTCAGTCGTTGTTTCATGACCTTTTGCAAATATTTTTTAAAAGGCAAAATAGCGAGTGAACAGGC